TGGGATCAAGGCTGCAGTCCCAGGAGGGGAAGCTGATGGAAGGAATGGGCTGAGGCTGAGCTGCTCAGGCAAGCAAAGGATGGAAGCACCAAAAGAGCACGGTGGTGAAGATGGTGGAGAGAGAGGAGGCCAGTGGGGAAGGAGGCAGGAAATGCTGACCAGAAAACAGCAGGATGCAGCATTGGTTTTATGTCAAAGAAGGACTGCAGAAACTGGGGGATGGAGAGGGCCTGGGGCTGGGATTGAGGGCAGCCAGCACAAGGGGGAGAGGGGCAGGAATCTTGTACCATGGGCACAAGCAGGCATGAAAGGAAYAGGTTAGAAGGGAGCAGGAGGAAGGGGGAAGCAGAGTAGCCTGAGTAATTGTACATGAAAACACAGCCAAAGGAGTGAAGAAACCAAGAAGCAGAAAAAATCTGGTCAAAGGAGAAAGGAGCATCTGGTCATTCTAAATGTGAGGGTTGGAGAACCCATTGGAAACATCCTCACTTCACTGCTGGAACATGAAAAGCTGGGGCTTCTTGTTTCTGTGTGGTGCCTTCCACTGTCCCCTCTGTTGTCTGTTCACAGTTCACTGGGACGGAGACTCGAGACCTGCATACAAAACAAGGGGATAGTCTATGAAAAGTTGTATCTAATTTTATTTCTTGAACATAACACATAGGACYGGTTTTCAGTAGAGTACAGATTTGTCTCTTAAATTTCATGAAATCAAATAAAATTAGAGCTGTCAGAAGCTCAGCACAAACTGTGGGYTAAGCAGAGGTGCATCACTGAGCACAAGGTGCCAGCAGGATGGTAAACACRAATGTGAGTAGCCCTTAGCACACCTTTGCTTTTGAGCCCAAAGAGAAGTGATGGGTTATGAACCCTCCTCCATCACCATCRTTCCCTTCCATGGGGCTGGGAGAGCCAGGAAGTGCTCTGTGGATATTAAGGACACCACTGAGGTGAGAACAGGCCAGGTTTGCAGTGCTGTACATGAATGACAGCAGCACTACCAGGGCTTCACCKCAGTGTGTGCTCTGAACACACTTGGAAAAGCTGTCTTTGCCTTTTTACCTCCACCACCTTAAAGCTGAGGCTAAARGGAAGACAAGATAAACCCTGGTGAGCACAACCCCTCCTTTCATTAACATTTTAAACGGTTATATTTAATGGTACATTTAACTAACACTAAGTTATCCATGGGARGAGAATTTGGCTGTTAACACTGGCATGTGCTTAACAAACAAGCCTTGCATTTGGTGAGGCGTGAGCAGTAACACCAATAGTACTCCTTGCTAACAGCAGACTCATTAACATTAATTCCTGCTTTTACCACCATGAGGAGCTTTTTGTATCTGCAGCAGCAGTTATTAGATGTACCCCATTCTCACTGCAAAAGGAACACAGGAAATTAATAGCAGTGATGCAGACCTACCAGTAAACGAAGATCTGAATTCTTAGCACTTACCATGACTCAAAATTTCCAGAAGAGGAAGGAARGTGATGAGATGTTCTGGGGACTGTGTTCTTCATCTTTTCTCACTGAGGAACTTGAACCATATTCAAACAYGGCTAAATTGCAATTGGAAATTAGTTAAGGGTTATGATACTCAAGGGCTATGGAAAATGTGTGTCCATAAAAACACCTTGCAATTCAGCCAAGACTGGCTTTTGCTGTCCAAAGCAGGCATTGTCAGAATGTGCAAAGAGCTGGATTTAGAGAGAGAAGCTGTGATGGATAAAACACTGGGTAAGATTTGTCACAGCTGTGCATTGGTTGGGACTCTCAGGATTAATAGGACTTGTCACTCATGCCCACCAGCAGCTGGAGTCACAAGGCAGAATATTTGTCTTAGGCACACCTTATTTTGATACTTTGATACTTGGAATGTGAAATAAGGATTTTTTAAACATTTTTTTTCCTAAAATTTCTCAAAATGTGACATTTGAGGTTGGGTTATCAGAGAAGCACAGAATYATTGAGGCTGAAAAAGACCTCTAAGACCATCAAGTCCAACATTTGACCAAACACCACCTTGTCAATTAAACCATAGCATTAAGCACCATGTCCAGTTGATTCTGGAACACTTCCAGGGATGATGACTCCACCACTTCCCTGGGCAGCCTGTTCCAATGCTTAACCACTCTTTCAGTGAAAAAATTCTTCCTGCCTCACTGAATCTCATGCTGTYGGTCTCAGCCCATTGATCCAGCCTGACCAGATCCCTCTGCAGACCTTCCTACCCTCCAGCAGATCAACATTGTCACATTTAGTGTCATCTGCAAACTGACTGAGAACAAACTGATCTTTCACCTGAAAGCTGGAAATGGCATTGGTTTCCGGGAAATATCTGTACCTAAAACACCTTTTTATTGGTCTGTTGTCTGTGTTGTAAACTCTGTCCACACATAGCAGGTGTGCTACCTGTAAAAGCTTGAGAATCCATTGGAGAGCAWGAGCTTTACACAATGTTTTCTGATKATTAATACTTTCAGAGTATGTGGTTTATAGAACATTTAYTGCTTTCTCTTCAAAAGTGTCCCCTTTCCAGTTCAGCCTAAAAATGGTGCATTGACCAGGAAACTAGAGGAATGAATGTTTGAACTATTATCACAAAGAGGGAGGTGCTAATTGAAAAGCATAATAGAATTGTCATAAGTTCCAATAACCTTGATGATAAATCTGATTTTAGGTCTTTTAAAATATTACAAATTACTACAAAATGCTGACCAGGAATAATGTTACTCTGCCAGCTGAAAGCTRCTCAAAAATATTTTACAGGGCTTGGAGGGCAGCAAGGCACCCTTTAGGCTTAGTTTGGGAATAAAGCTCAACACTGACCTGCTGCTGCCCCATCTTTCATTGCTGATGTTTTTATCCAGGTTTGTGCCCAGGATTCTAAGGCTGGAATCCCCTCCTACCTGTGTTGGCAGGGAGAGTTTGTGGGAGTCACTGGTAGAAGTGATGGTCCCACCTTCCTCTGCCAGCTCAACCCATGGATCTGGGGTTTCCATCTCTTGGAGCACAGCTTCCCAGGCTGTTTCCTTAGCTTGAAAACCATCTTGTAACCTAATCCTTCCAGATGGAGAAACTACTCTAAAGTCTGAGTCTCTCAAGGATGCCACACAGATGTCAGTGAGAATGCACAAGGCACTTGACACAAGTGCAGGAATCCAGCAGAGCTTCAGTCCCTCACAGTGCACCTGGCTTCCAGTCCTGGCCCTGAATTCCTGTGGGGAATACACTGTTCACTTGAGGTGGCTTCAGATGGCACAAGCTGTGGRAAGCAGGCACTGAGCAGTCATCCAGAGCACCCACGAGCTGATGGCAAGCTTGAGCTAAGACTGTGCATCCTCCCTGAAATGTGGTTTAGGAAGTCTGCTCAAGTGAAGGCTGCTTTGCCTGCCTGTGGGTCCATCACCCATTTGTAGAGCGACCTGAGAACTTCCAGCCATGGAAAACCAGACCGTATTGCTGGCTTCTGGCTTTACTGGTTTGCAGAACAGAGCCAGGACAGCCCCCTTCCCAGCCCCATTGCTTTTGTGTTGTTTTTCTGTCTAGTGGAGGGGCGGGCTCACCACATCTTTCCATGGATGATATTTTACTCATCCTGAAATTCCTCCCACCACAGAGTCTCAGCACAGCCCCTCRCCACTGACCAAAGCTCTCCCCTGTGGCACCGGAGTGAGGAGGCCCAGAGCTCATTGCTGGGGCAGCTGCTGGTGACAGCCTCTGGTCATCCTGGTGTCTCTTTGGGCCATGGAAAAGACACGTGGATGCAGGGACAGATTTATGTCCTGGGGGCAGAGGTGAGAGCCCCTTGTAAGCTGGCAGCAGAGARCCAGCTCCTGGTTCCAAGCAAACCCTGAATCAATGTGAGGACAAAGACCAGAAGCCCACAGAGCATTTTCAATGCTGTCCAAACCCTTCCTCTTGTGCTTTTTACCCCACTTGCCTAATTGAAATGGAAATAAAGATATCAAGCATCTCTGGGAAGGGGCTGCAACACTKGCAGATAAAAGTTTGTAATTGCTCTAAAGCTCCTCCCTGGCCCTTGCCCCAGGCAAATACCCCAGGCAGCAATGTGTCCTTGGGAACAGGAGGGATGGGCATGCAGAGGCAGCCAGATCAGACTGACAGCAGCTGATTGCCACTGAGTGATAGCTGAGTTAACAAAACAAGAGATATTAAGGGACTGGAGCAAGGGGAGGAGGCATTAGAGGCACTTTGTGCCACCAGCGATGGCTGAGATGTGGCAAATGAAGGAAAATTAGCACCAGACAGACAAATGGAAACTCATTTCAAGAGGCATGGAATGAGACAAAATTGCAMAGAGAAACTCAGGAGATTGATTCCGTAGGAATGAACCTTTATATCCCAAGGAATCCAGTGTTCTCAGTCACTCCCTTGCTCACTGTTTGCACCCTGGGAGCTCTCCCTTCATGCCTTTTCAGTGATATCTTGCTCTTATATAAATACTAGGGCTGAGAAAACAGTTTTTCAGAGCAGCAGTGTGAATTTGCTTTGATGCTGTCCTCCCTCCCACCTGTTTTAATTGGTGTCTGMTGCAGTTTTTTACCGCATCAAAGGTGAACAGGAGCAGGAACTCATCGCCACTCAGGTGGCCAAAATCTGTTGTGTTCAGCTTCACAGAGCAGTCTGAGAAACTGGGGTGGCTTGATCATAAGGTCAGGGAGGTTTGGCTGTGTAAGCTGTACTAGAGGGAATAGTCAGATCCTCAGTCAGC